CTAGAATGGTGCCTGGTATGGAGGGGTTGTTATACGAGGGGAGTCTGAAATCTCTCAAACTGTTTTCTCTTGAAAAAAGAAGTTAGGGGGGATTTGATTGAGATGTTTAAGATTGTAAAGGGAATTGATAGTGTTGATGCATCACCTTTTTTCATATTCAACAGTGAGAATAGTAGGATTAGAGGATACACATAAATTTTGGCAAGGTAGGAGTCATCTTCAGCTAAGATAGTTTCATTTTTCTCACAGGGTGGTTGACCTTTGGAATGAGTTGCCTTTGGATGTTATAGAGGCAGTAAATTTAAGTGAGTTTAAGAAAAAGCTTGACAAGTATATGAATGAAAAGGGCTGGATTTAAGATTTTTTATTTATTTATTATTATTTTTAATCATTTTAATTTAGTTTAGAGGATGGAACAGCTGAGATGGACCAAGAGGTCCCATGTTGTCCCAAAACGTTATGTTATGTATTTTATTCATGTATAATTGTTGAAAAACAAAAATCAAAATATGCGAGAATATTTCAGCTGTGTTCATTTCCTACATAGATTAGTTTTATATATATCTGGTTATTTGCATAATGATTATAGCGTCATTCTTGATATCAGTAGACTACAACTGTTTACTTAGTTCGTGTTGTAGCAAACATTTTGATATGAAATAACGTAGCAAGTTGAATATAAATAAGAGCAGATGGTTGTTTAAAGATGAGATGATTATCCATGAATTGTTTTACAACAAACTGAATAAAAGAAGCTTATTTGTAAATAAGATCCTTGTACACACATAGAGCAGTCCAACATTGTGCGCGTGCGTGTCTATACATAAAGAAATACCAGCCAAATATGCACAGAGATGAAATAAACACACACACTTACAGAACTTATGTATATTGCGGAATGTATGTTAACCTCTGGTGGGTAAAACAGTTGAGCTGAGACCTAGGGTTATATATACCCTCCTTCCCCCCATGCCGAAGGTGTAGGCTTTTTTTTCTTCTTCTAATGACACTTCTTTTTTTAATCTTAGAACCAAAAACATCATACATGTTTACTGTAGCTGTCCCTATAGGGTAAATACTGCAACGTCTCACTGAGACGTGTGCACGTGCGGGGCCTAAAACCGTGAGACAAGTGTGTAGAGCCGTTGAAGTCATATTTAAACATTACTCCAATTGCACTTCTTATTGAGATACATTTCCTACTGTTAAAAAATCTAAACACTAAGCCTAAAAAATATTTTAAGAGAATTTTAGGGTCAAACGTTTAGAACATTGTGTAAAATGTATAATTTACTCAAGGCTTGAAAATTACAGCAGAATGTTTGTTTGTTTATTTGAAGTGAAGCACAAAGCTACACAATGGGCTCTCTGTGCTCTGCCCACCACGAGTATCGAAACCCGGTTTCTAGCGATGTTAGTCCGCAGACATACCACTGGGGGGCACAACAGAATGTCTGCGATAATATGCAACTTTTATAAAATAAAGATGAATAAAGTTTATAATAATCAAATAAACAATGTCACAATACATCGTATAAAACTTACTGTTACTACTTTCATGGTTTCCAAAACCTTTTTTATCTAATATCAGAAGAGCAATATTTGTCAAATTTATCAAATAATATTTATATAAAGATGAAAACGTATATAAAAAAGTCGAAGTAATACTATTTTATAAAAAATTAAGAGACAGAGATTTTTTGTTATATTTCCTCCAAGATATTATAAGTTCTCCCACTAACGATATCACGATTTCCGGTCTACTGCGCCTCTGCACACTCGTCACAGGAAATAACGGTCACACGCCTGACCTACATTCATGATCCTACTTTCTTGTTGGATATCACTCTGTCTCTGCATGTAATAAACACATTTCATAACAATATGTCTAACATACTGACTCGCCCACGGCTTATTTACTGTTGCTGTCTAGGCACTGTCTGGTCTTTGCTTACAAAGAATTGTGTAGAAACACTGATGTTTGATAACCTTATTATTTTTATATGAAAAATGTTATACACAGACACAAGAAAAAGTAAAAGACGGTTACTGGAAAACACACTCTCAATGAATTAGCAAAGAAAATTTTAAATTACATAATACACAACTACTGCGAAGTAAAAACAAAACGTTCGAAAGGTTTTAAAAGTTGAAGAAACTAAATAACATAGGCTTATCAAAACTTGTATTGAAATATATATATATATATGTACATCTTTCCCTGAGGGTCGTGGTTCAATTTATTTATTCTGAGAAAATACTACAATTCTGTGCAAATTAGTACAGAAAAGCAAAAACAATACTGGGAAACGATTATTTATTTGTGGCTTTTAATTCTAAATATGGTGTTTTATTTACAAAAACAAGTGATGGCAATCATTTTACAGGGGTAGCTTGGAAATATCTTATTTTTATTTAATTACATACGAAATATTTTAAGCTTAAATAAATTGAATAAAAGATTTAAAAAAAAACAACAAACTTAACTGGTTTGGCAACATATCACATTTGTTGACACAACCACCTACGGATCTATGGATGGATGTACGGAATAATAATGGCGCGAAATATCTGTACGCGGTTTCGATGAACGTGAACCTGAACTGACTGAACTGAACAAACGAAACTCACATAAAAATATTTTGAATTTCACACCTGGTGGTTCACTCTTTACATGATTGTAATCAAAACTGAATTGAAAAAAAATCTAATTTTGTATACAGGTTAAAGCTGTGAAACCAAAACAATTAGAATTATACGTATAATTTTTCTGTTGTTGATAATTGTTTATAATTTAACAAACATTTTACTACATCCATAAAGATAACTTGCGTATCCTCTGAAATGAGGAACTGTATATACATATTTACTACAATGCAACACATATTTTAATAACACCCACCAAACCAAAAAGATATACACAACCTGTTACATAAAATTGCTGACAAAATTTGTTAGTTTTCTAATACTTATTATGTTTGAATAACCAATTTTCTATACAAAAGGCTAAACTCATCTTTGGGGGCAAAAAGAATAAAATGAAAGGGCTAGTGAAATGGGCCACATGCTTATTAGGCCTATATTGTTGCATAAAGTGCAGTTGGGTTTGTACAGGTAAAGGTCTGAAGTCAGACCGTGAGATATAGCTGATAAATTGTATAGCTACATTCCACTTATTTATAACCTTCATTATTCATTTATTTTCGCTTTCCATTATTAATTATCTAATATTCTTTCAGTGGTTTCTAAGCATGTGACATCGTTGTGTTGTTTAGGTTGCTTAGTTACCTTGCTGAGCTTCTCACCCTCGTGTTGTGGCAACAAGGTGCGGAGCGACTGAAAACCAGCATTTATGCTTTGCATCCGCCGTCTTTCGTTGCTGTTAGCTATTTCTCGGCGGATTCGCTTCTCCTGTTCCATCTGTGTCTTAGGTGAAACGGGCCTACTTCCAAGTCTGTCCACAGAATATTAAAAATCAAAATGTATGTCAAGTCATAACATTATATAAACAAGTGATACAAAGTAAATATTATTATCATTTTTACTTGAAACAGGTGCGAATTAGTTTTGGAGGTGTATAACACAGTGACAAATTAACAGACCTTAATGATAAGGCGACTAGAAAACCGGTTTCCAATGAAAAGAGCAAAGTTAAATTTTATGTGGTTTTCCTGATAACTTTCTAAAACTGGTTGATTTATTTCTATTACCTAATTTTAATCATAAAGTTTCAAAAAGTACCAGTAATAATACATATTAGGATTTAGTCTTTTTAACTTTTTGCATTTTACCCAATAAATCTTTATGACGTGCAATATTGGACGTGATAACTGCCATTTTGAGCATCGTTTGGTGATTCCTGATTAAGCTTTCTTAAAATGCAAATCGAGGACTAAGACCTCAATATTTTTTTTTTTTAATTTGATGCCTCACGACATCTGATTTAGCAAAGTCTTTCCCAGGAGGTTTCGTTCTCTTGGCTGCCAGACGGTAGACACTAAACAACCGATTGACTATTTTTTGTTGAAACGTACAAACTTGGCTTCGTGCCAAAGCTTTAGACGCCATTACTATACTACATATATAGCAAGCATGGAAAGTAGCGCTAGTGCTGTACCAATAGCAAACACGCCGGCAAGTCATTTCACGTTACATTTCAGTCTTTACTACACAGACCAGGCTTGATCAAATAATAATATAAGTTGCCACAATTAAGAGTAAAACATCTGTTATTCAGTCAAGTACACAATACAAGTCAAATATGTGTTTAGTGACAACTTTTTCTACATGGCTAGTCTACGTGGTAACTATTTTTTACATATGACTCAGACTCACACAAAGTAAGGCTAATGGCTAAGCTTAACAGTTAATAATCAGTAGAGAATGTTGATTTTGCAAAAACAGTGACTATGACTTCTCATTGGTGGTACTAGTATCCTAACTGTTCGTACTCGAACACTGTTTTTGGACAGGTGCACTAATATAGCGTAATGCGTGTATATGAACTTACTAATTAATTTTAGGCTAATCTAAGCTACTGCTGTTGTATTTTTATAAATCGTTTAAGCTTAATATGAATTAAAGTTACATGCTTTTTGTATTTAGTCATCTTAGATTGATTTAAATTTTCAAATTTAGTTAATTGTTTGTTTGTAATTAAGCACAAAGCTACACAATGGGCTATCTGTGCTCTGCCCGCCACAGGTTTCGAAACCCGGTTTCTAGCGTTGTAAGTCCGCAGACATACCGCTGTGCCACTGGGGAGCAATTTAGTTAATAAGGTAATTGAATGTTTAAAGAACTAAATTTCACTTATTAGATAAAAATGTAACACCAACAGTCAAAATAACATACTAAGTAATAACAATATAACAAGTCCTCTTTCAATAAATTTAAAATCTGTCAATTAACGTACCGACTGAGCTGCGAACATTGAAAGAAAATCATATGGAAGTGGAATGTGATAGCTAAGTTATTTATCATTTGGTCTCTCGCAAATAGCTATGTTTCACTTGTAATTGAATGCCTCATAAAAACGACTATAGAAGAACATGGGTCAATGACATAATATATTAACATCTATCAATTACAAGAACTTAAACTTTAAATTAATTATCCTTTTTTTAATTAATTTGAACATAGGCTAACTAACAAAAAAAAAAAAAGAGTGGGTGCCTGGGTGAGTTTAACCTTACCATCACTGGAACGTTACAATCGTTGAGTTAGGCTATATCAGAGAGTAATTACATAGCCGATTTTTAAGCAAGGGACCTAATCTAATGCTGAATAATTATTATTAGGTTAGTCTATGAAATGCATTTTACGAGACTTCAAGCAGGTAGATATGTCATTATTCTATGTATTTTAAACATTCTAGTTTCAAAAAAATAATAATGGTTAGAGAAGTAACTCCTCTCTAAACCTGACTCAAGTACGATAACTCCGTAACTGACAAAATAACATTAACGTTGATTTGTGTAGTAAAACGAGATTTAATCATTCGTTTCATAATACGGTAGACAGTCTATGTAACCCGAACGTAAAGATAAAATAGCCTGGTTTCATTCAGTCAACTTACCTGCATAAGCTTCCTATAACGTCTTCTTGCTGTCTCCTCAATTCACTAAATATTCGTCGCTTCTCATTTTTTCGATTACACGACGCCATTTTAATAACAGTTTTCAATCAAGAGATCTCAAAACACCTGACACTAAATTATACGCTCAGTTTAAACTAACTTTTAATAACACTTCGCATCAACTGGCTTGTTTCACGTAAGAACCACGTTTGGCGGGAAAAGCATGGTGTGTGCCGTTGTGTTACTACCGCATTCTGAGAAAATATTTTCATTTGTAAAAACTAAAAACCACAATAACTTAAAAGCATTTAAAAAATCATAATTACAACATTATGTGTCATACATTTAAAGGCTGTTTATATTTTTTATATTTTCACTTAGAACTCTTTACTATAACGTAGTAATAAAACTGATGGCTGATCAGCTGTCCAGTAGTAAGGAACGCGCGGGAAAGCGTAGTGATTAACAGAGAGGATGTGTGGGGGGAGGGAGTGACGTATGTTAGGAGAATATAGTTAAAATTGAAAACTTTATTTCATTTTACTCTCTGTAATCGAAATAAAACTAGATGTTTCAGCTAGTAATGATGTTAGTATTTATACTTAAGTGATTGCTTTAAAAATTTTACAAAATAATTAAATTTCTAGGAGAGAACTTGCAACATACCTCAAAAAGAATTAAATTCTCTATAGTAATTTTACAACGCTTGTCTTTAACGTACATTGGCTCTACTTTTGGAGTTGGCGTCAATCGATATCAATGTGAAGTCACCCATACCTTTCCTTAGATTCATCGCTTGCGTCTTTTGGAACCTATGATATGTGATATTCGAACAACTCAGCCTAAAACATACTATTGAATTACAAAATTCTTTAAGGACATGCATGATTAATATGAAGTTTTGTACAGCAATAGTATTTTGTTTTCTTAATGCGGTTTTATTTGCTGCAAAATAGTGAATTCTAAATACTTTTAAAATTTACAAAAAATTATATATGCATGTTTCAAGTTTTTGGGTTATGAGATATAACATAGTATAGTTAGAAAGATACACCTTCTATTGTTAGGTTATTATGTTCCCGACTGGATGGTATAAATCCGGAAAATCAATTTTCGTTCTACAGAATGTAAGAAGTTTAAATAATACAAGTCCTGAGAGATTAAGTGCTTGTATTGTCTACGCTGATGACGCTATAAATCAAAACGTTATGAATTTAACGAAAGTCGTACGTAAATTTTACTATGAAGTTATTTTGCTTATTTATAACTAACTAGAAAACATTTTTTTTTATCCTGTAACTACTTTAAATGTAAAATAAGGATCCTTTAAGGCTGTATAACAAATGTATTGTTTTAGTTACAGACATTTTCTCTGTTGCGCTTATGAAAACAGAATGCTAGAACTTATTTTTTTCTTTTCGTTTTGTAAAATGGCTAATTTACGAAACTCTCAGTATATTTATTTTTAAGGTGTAAGCACTGTTTTTTAACGTATGCATCAAAAAAGAAAAACCGAGCTTCTCACTTTGGGATCGTGGGTGCGGTATAAGAGTGACAATCAACTCCCACTATTCGGTCTGACAAGAGTTGGCGGTGAGTGGTGTTGGCTAGCTGACTTTCCTCTAGTCTATCATTTCACAATTATGGAAGGCTGGCGCAAATAACCCTCGTGTGTGCTAAACCTAATAAATAGATATATTTATCTGTGATTTTAAACAACTGTCGTACTTGATGTAAATACAAAGACTGTTTGATACAAGTTCATGTAATATTCCTTGTATCTTGAATTTTAAAAGTTTTAATTTTGAATTTATTGCCCCAACTGGAAACTGACCCATAATTTTAAAAGTGATTTTGTTTTATTTTACCACTATTAAAAAAAAAAGCCTATTATACTGACTTATTTACATCTTATTTTTGAAGACACGAAATGGAAGATAACAGATCAGGGACTGTAAAATTAATAACCCAAAGATAACCAATCGTTTTGTTTTCATATAAAGTGAGTTTTACATTGCTTTATCAAAAATAACAAAATTATATAAGGTTCAGGTCGTTTATGTAATTAGATTCTTTAAAATCTCAAAAGTTTCATATAAAAGTTTAAAGATAAAACAACAGTTCTGTTCCGTTCAACATTAAAAGGAAAGAGTATAATGCAACATGTCGATAGTACTCGAGTGGGAGACATAGGGCATACAAGTATAAATATTAGAATGTATCTTAATAAGGGCGAGAAATACGGATGTATAACCTTCTATTATAAGGCCTCATATTTGGAATGAAGTTAGAAACTAACAAATGTCAAAGAAAATGTTCCAGATCCGAATTGTCATTCAACACCTGTAGTCAGTTGTTCAGGGAAGTAGATGTACAAAGTAGAAAGAGGGCACTCAGTAGAGCACATACCTCCGTCATGTATCGTTGGTCATATTCGGCCCTCAAAACATACGAAAATGTGTCCGTATGTCCGTCGTTATCGACAGACCCCGACCATTTTTGGCAGGACAATGAGGAATAAGATTCTACATATGTCCACAAAGTTTCATCAAAATCTGATCATTTTTGACTGAGTTACAACAGCACAAATAGTGTGAAAAATTGGTTTCCGTGTTAACAGATAGGGAGTTTTTGTTTTTTTTTGTGACCTTGACTCTCCATTCAGCCGTTTTTGCTAAATCTTGCTGACAAACACACACACACACATAGGGGTGAAAACATAACCTTCGTCACCTTCAGTGGCGGAGTTAACTAGAGGGATACTCAGTAGAGTGTATACTTCTGCCACACAGCTTTGATCATATTCGGCTCTAAAAAAATATTAAAATGTGTCCGTACGTCCATTTTTGTCAGTTCAACGAGGAATAATATGTCTACCAAGTTTTGTCAAATTCCGATCAGTTTTATTGAGTTATAAAGCAAAAATGTGTGAAAAATCGGTCCCCATGTTAACAGCTAGTAATTCTTTCTATTTTCGTGACCTTGTTGTGACCTTGACCTTCCCAAAACTAATCACTCCTAAGTTAGATCATATTCAAATGTATACCAACCTTAGTCTAAATTCATTCAGCCATTTTTGGGAGATCTTGATGACAAACACACATACAGAGGTGAAAACATTACATCCAACCATCTTCAGTAGCGGAGGTAATTACAACTACAGAAGTAAAATAACACTGTATTGTTTGAAATCAATAAAGTGAAATTTCCCGAAATATCTATTTTCTAACCATTAAACATTCAAAATGCTTACTTTAAATCAGTTGTTGAAAAAACATATTCACGCTTTATTATATACTAACTAGAGTACCCGTCCCCTGGACGGAGGTTATGTAAATTCATAATTAATGAAAGGTTATCTTAGGACATGAAAACTAGCTTCCCTTATATGTAATTGTAAAAAACGCTCATAAAAACTGCAAAACACAAAATGCTAAATCGCAAGTTTGCATGCATTTTTGCATGGACCCAATAAACTTTCATGTCAAATTTGGTGAAGATCCATCAACAGGGGGCGAAGTAATGGTAAAAAAAAAACGCCCATAAAAACCACAAACTGAAAATGTGTATGTACCCCTCGCATGGACTCAATGAACCTCTATACCAATTCGGGTGAAGGGATATCCATCCATACCCTAGGAATTAGTTACATGAACATACAACAGACAGTACTATTATATTTACATAGATTCTTCCTTCTTGTACTTGTCGGCATTGGGATTTAGGTCTTTGTAGAGCTGGGAGGGTCAGGTTCGCCTGGACTTTCTTCTTTCACTCTTTAAGTTCTTAGAATTCATATTCGCACCTGTCCACCATTGGTTTATACATGAAGTCACGTGAACAATTGCTACGAAATTTCATTCTGATGGCATCATTTTATAATTGATAATATACAAGGGTGGCCGTTTTACCGGATAGAACCGTCTTATCTCACTTTCCAGTATAGATGATAATGGCAGGTTAAGAAATGAAGAAACCCCATTTTCACGAACCTAATAACAAGGCTCAGTTTTGGAGAATATTAAACATTAGGGAGTAAAAGTCGGTTGTAAGGCCATTTGGCTTTATACATTATACAAGTTTGTATATTTTCATTATCTTGGTCCCAAGTTATTACTTGCGAAAAATTTGAAAATACAAGAAAACGATTTTGTCTGTTGCACATTGGGCTATCTACGCAGTGCTCATCACAGGGATCGAACCTCAAATTTAAGTATTATAAGTCCTCAAACCTATTGCTGTTCTACTGGAAGGGAAAGATGGAATATAATTAACTTTAAGCAATAGTTGTTATTTTCATCAGCGTGGATTGAAGTGTTTAGTCTAAACAGATTTACTTGACTTCATTACATTTAAGGCAACATACAGACATTGGACGTGTCTATCATCATCATTTTCATCATTGTTACACAGCGCTTCATCAAAATTTACTACATTAAGTATTACATATCTACAATATTTATCAATTGCACTGGCTAACTAAGTTTAATGGCGATTCTTGGTGAATTAAATTTGTATATTTTTGGCACATTTGTTCAAGAGCTCTTACAATTGATAAATCAGATTTGTATTCAGTTAATTCTAATCCTTTTCATTTCTCTGTCGATTGTCTGAGCTCGTGCATATAGGAAAACTTGGAATATTATTTACTTCATTCTTACAAGGTTATACTGCAGTTACCCCTATTCGTATAACAGAGACAGAATTCGGCATTCACCTGTACTGAAACATACATCAGTTAGCCATGGCATTGTTATTTAATGTAACTAGCAAAAAATACCCATTCTCCGCTGCGGGTTTCAAAGGTCCTCTCACGATTTACAGAGGCCTCAATGTACTGATCAAACTCATCCCCAATCCCCAATTACTTCTATAACTACCTCTAAGAGGACACTCGCACATGTCCTTGAGCGCGAGCGTCATGTTTGGTCCTGCTTGCTTGTTTTCAAGCCACCGCCCACGAGTTCAACTCATTACTTGCCCCAAAATATTTCCATCTACTTTACTTTAGTAAAACAAACTATACGTTTCTCTATTTAAAACAAGGATTTACAAATTGAATTGAATTACTTAAAGAATGCTGCGCTACCTAACGTTTTCAACCCTGATACCATAGATGTCGCTTATATTTAAACTTGAGACAGTAAAAACTTCCTACGACAATTCCAGTCTTTCCCTTATCGTGACAGACTCCTTTCAATTCAAACCTGATACTTTGGGATAA